CCACACTGTAGCCATCTTTTGGATATAGCGCAGCCGGGAACTGGTTAAAGCGGAGCTAACCCCCATCGATTTAACAGTTTCAATACAGTTGTATCCCTGGCATGCCAGGCATGGATGGAGAGATCTGCAGTATTGTAGCCAGAACCTGCAGCTGTCGGTGTACTTGAACAGCGGCTGCATCTGATTGGCTGCAGGTGCTGTTTGGCTAATAGTTTTCCTTCCAGCTCCTTTCACAAGTCAATTGAAAAATCGACTTTTGTGGAGTCAGGTGGTGGCAACAGGTCCACTCATGGTGCAAATTTCAGCCGATGCAGCAGGAGTCATCAGAAATTCAGTGTATGTATGGTCGGCTTTAGTGGTCACAGAGCTGGCAGAAAAAGGAACCTGATGTGTCAGGCAGGAAATGAGTCTCAGTGTCTCAGCCTTCTGCTTCGTCTTCTTCAAATATAGTATCCACTCTTTTCTCAGCAAGCGTGATCTCCGATACTAATCTGTTTCGTCCTCCAGACAATTCCAGCAGAAAGCCATTAGACCAGGTATCACATACAAGTCTCAGAATTTGTCAGTATACGATTGATACCGCGTGATGTACACAACATGCCTATGACTTTGTGTACATTTTACATTTTATTAAGATTGGGACACAGACAATTATTAGGAGAAAAAAAAAACGGAATCTTGTGTGTGCATAAGTATTCACCCCCTTTGCTATGAAACTCCTACACAAGATGTGGTCAAACCAATTAGTCTCATAATTAGATGAAAACATCAGGGCCACCTGTGTAATCAGAATGGGCACTGATAGGCAACACTGATGAGTTGGCACTTATATGCAACAATGATGGGCACTGATAGGCGGCACTGATGAGCTGGCACTGCTGGGCACTGACTGGCGGCACTGCTGGGCACTGACTGGTGGCACTGCTGGGTGGCACTGCTGGGCACTGGTGATCAGTGCACTGATCATCGGTGCTGATCCATCTTCTGACAATTGCCGGTTATCAGCAGCACTTTCCTCACCCTGTGACAACGTGAGGAAAGTGCAGCCGATAACCGGCAACTGCATTTACCGGTGATCTGCTGTGTCATTGGACACGGCTGATCACGTGGTAAAAGGCCGCTGTGATTGGCCTTTTACCACATCACGTGATCAGCTGTGTCCGTAGGAGATCGCCGGGTGCGCGCCTTCTGGGAGGAGGTCATATGATGCCCTCCCAGAACTGGCCGGCTGCCATCAAGCCGTCATTCAGCTATCTGCGGTCGGCAAGTGGTCAAGTAAGGTCTGGAGTTTTTAAAAACAAAAGAGGCTTTATGGCGACTTAAACATTTAATATTTTTAACACTGCGCCGTTTATCTCCTCCTCCCCTCCCTGCCTGTCTCCAGCACCGCACCCAGGGACTAGCAGGGGGAGAGAGACCTTGCAGTGTAATGAGCACCAATTGGCTGCTCGTCAAGAAAGGGGAGTGTCGGGCTTATCCTTTATCCATTTCACTGCCAGAGCTGGTTCTGTGTTTTTTGGACACATTTAAAAAATCATTTAAGGCCTGAAAATGACACAAAACCCTCAACAGGATATATTTTCTGAAATCAGAGACCCTAGGGAATAAAATATCGGTAGTTTAAATTTTTAATGTAACACAAAATTATCACAAAGATCTAGGAAATGCAAAATTTCAGTAAAAAAAATGCACTTAATTTTAAGGCATAAAAAGCAATAAACAATTTTTTGTATAATATAAAAGATGAGGTTGCAGAGAGTATCTAATGAATGTGAATGTCAGTGTCTTAACATTTGCAATTTGCTGCAGCACAATTTCTAAAGTAGTTCTTGCATTACTTTTTCTGCAGCTTTGTTGCGATTTCACATACTTAGAATATAATGGAAATCGCACTGCAAATTGCAAGCAAATTGAAAATCTTCACAAGTAGCAATAAAGTCTTTGGAAATCGCACCTGAAACCACGCTGAAATTGCACACAAATCGTGCAATTTTAAATTACAGCGGTGCGACTAGGGTGTTAAAGCAACATGATGAAAATGAAAAAAAGTAAAAGAATGCTTTTACAACACTTTTTGGGTGCTTTTGAGTATTGAGGGTGTGTATACTGAAGCGTTTACAGGGCTATGTAGCTTAAGCTGCAATTTACACATGGCTGAGTGACTCCTTGCAGTGACTCATTATTTATCAGACAGCTCAGTCCAGTGCTCAGTGCAGTTTTTTTAACTACCTGTTAGGGATCCGGGTATGACCAGAAATGTGTGGACTGACACAGGGAAACATAGACTTCAGGTATAGTGTGAATAAGACAATTTATTAAGACTAAACAAAACATAGACACAGTGCAAGACTAAACAACAACACAGTGCAAACCAACCAACCCAAACCTCCAACAGATAACAATAGAAACAATACTAAGCGTAGTCGGGCAGGCCGGGTCGGTAGCAAACGGGCAGGCAGGGCACAAGGAGCAGGCGGAAGAGTAGTCAGGAATAGCCGAGGTCAGGACAGGCGGAGTTCATGCAGAGTCAGGGAGCGAAGCAGAATCTGAATCAGGCAGAAAGCAGACAGGATGCAGGTACAGGGGCCCATGGGAAACATACACCAAGGCCCTGATCACATTCCTGGCCATTCCTTAAATACACCTGTTGTAATCAGCTTCAGGTGATGGCTCATTGCAGGAGTGAGCCTCTGGTTGCTGAGAGCACCCGCCGGCCAGCCCTGGTACTGCAGCCCGCAAGGCAGGTGAGTCCCACCACCACTGGCAAGTCCATTCCTGACACTACCCCATAGTGCTATGGTATAGTATATAAAAATGTAAAACCTATATACTTTAAAAAGAAACAAAATAAAATATATTTCACAGTAAATTGGCTGTACAATCTCCTTTAAATCTACAAACAACTATGTAGAGCTAGTGAACAAAAGAAATGCAGCTCTAATTATAATGCCTATAAATGTCAAATAAAAATCCGTAAAAGTCCTCAAGTAAATAAGCAAGTTGCTGGAGAAGATTCTGATGTCATAAGCCGTCACCATACACCCGAAAAAATGAGCCCCTTACTGGACATTTAGACTGTTCAATACCAGTCAATATGCGCAGTGTAATAAGGAATCAGTATGGCAGGTAATCTTCAATAGAAATTCTCTACCAAATATAGGATGGTTCCTCCTCTTTAAAGATCTCCAAAACTTGAAGAAACTCCCATCCGATAATCGAATAAAGAACAAAAGCAACTCATGGAGCAGTAATTCATTAACATTTAGACAAATTTATTAAAAGATCCATGTACATCAAGAATTAAAATAACCAGCATTGAATATGAATTGTTTCAAACCAAAAATATGGCCGCCGCCCCTCCAGAACGTGGTGACGTCACACGCCAAAGCTCCATCCAACGTGTTTCGTCATCAGAAAGACGTCAGGGGCGTTTATATATGTAGAGCTAGTGCCTAGGTGATTTAACGCTGATGTTTAGGCACAATTTGTATTGCATAGTTACATTGTTCTAGTTTAGACCAACGTTAGTATGCCTATTTCATTCCTGACCAATCTTGTGTGAAGCCACAAATCACTATAGTTGCCGCTACTACAGTGCTAGCAGTTATATTTCTGGGTCAATTGCCAAATGGCTGCGATTTTGCATAGTAGCTACAGGCGGTCATTCACTTGGAACTGTCGCTATTCCTGAAAAGCTTTGCATTTGTTTCTGATTTGATTGAGCTAGGTGGAGATTGTGGCGTCACTCCACTTCATCTAACCAGAGGACATCTTGAGGGGTATTTACTTAAACTGGTGTACTCCGAATCTGGTGCAGCTGTGCATGGTAGCCAATCAGCTTCTAACTTCACCTTGTTCAGTTAAGCTTTGACAATAAAACCTGGAAGCTGATTGGTTTCTGTACAGAACTGTACCAGATTTTGTAAATGTTCTCTGAATGGCGGCAGTGAAGAGAGTGCGACACATTGTGGTTACTATGCAGAAGGGCAACCACTTGGCACTGGACCTGGACTATATCTGCTAGCACTGTAGTAGTGGCCCCAGTGGTTACTATGCAGAAGGGCAGCTGCTTGGCATTGGACCTGGACTATATCTGCTAGCACTGTAGTAGCACCCCCAGTGGTTACTATGCAGAAGGGCAACCACTTGGCACTGGACCTGGACTATATCTGATAGCACTGTAGTAGCGCCCCCTGTGGTTACTATGCAGAAGGGCAGCTGCTTGGCATTGGACCTGGACTATATCTGCTAGCACTGTAGTAGCACCCCCAGTGGTTACTATGCAGAAGGGCAACCACTTGGCACTGGACCTGGACTATATCTGATAGCACTGTAGTAGCGCCCCCTGTGGTTACTATGCAGAAGGGAAGCTGCATTGGACACTTGGACCGCCCCCTGGGTTACAGAGAAGGGAAGCTGCTTGGCTTGTGGCAGACTGCTGCTGTCACTGTACTAGCAGCCACTTCTACAGTGAGTTACAGCCTCCACAAGATCAGTCAGGTATGAGATATGCATGACCTCTATGATGAAGCCCCCCAGTGGGTGGGGAGAAAGGCATCAGGGGCGTGGCTTAGGAGACTCATCAAGGATGAGGCCATTCACATTCCCATCTGTTGCGCTAGTGGAGTGCAGTGTTTCTCATCCCCTTATAAGATATGCATACCTACATTGGTCCAGTTTGCAATTTTAAAAAATCCTATCTAAACTTCAGCTTTATTGTAAATGGAATGGATTGTTTAAGAAAGTCTTCACATGTATAGTTGTTGGCAAATCTAAATGAGATTGTACATCAAGATTGTAACCTGCACGGCCAGTTTTGGGGGCATTGTTCTCGCGTTCCGAAAGCCCTGCGCTGTAAACTACTGCACCAGAAAAAACTGGGCACTTTGGAGACTTTTGGACCCGTGCATAGCATGTACTCACATTAAATAAATACAATTCAAGTTAAAAAAAAGGGTACTAATTGATGGGTTCTTCTTAAATGTTTATATAATTTCTGTTACAGGCTTACCATTCCACATTAATGGAATCTGACACCAAGCTAACAGGAAACATGGCATTGCTGCCAATTAGAAGCCAGTTTAAAGGACCTGCCCCTAGAGAAAGTAAGTATTCAAAGGCATTTCAAAGGTTTCCTTCACATTCCTGCTCCACTACTGTTTCAAGTCTCGACTCGCTTACTACATACATAAATGATTTCCACATAGGTGGGATAGACTGTGCTTCTATTTTATGCATGTGTTTGCTGTTGTTTTTTTTAGCCGTGTGATTGTTAGTTTGGCTTCTATTGGCTCTTATTGTGGAAAATAATATCATCTGTGCAAATAAAAACTGTTGTTCCATTGTGAATTGAATCATGTATATAATAATGAATATTATAATAATTTACAGAAGGGTGTTAATCCTAACTACATAGAAAGTCCTGTATAATATATCTCCCGATTCCTTTTAGTTTCATTGAAAATTTTGTATAATGTACTGTATCTCCGATTCTTGCTAGCCACATAGAAAGTTCTCTATGTCATATCACTGATTCTTGCTAGCTACATAGAAAGTTCTCTGTGTCATATCTCTGATTCTTGCTAGCCACATAGAAAGTTCTCTATGTCATATCACTGAATCTTGCTAGCTACATAGAAAGTTCTCTGTCATATCACTGAATCTTGCTAGCTACATAGAAAGTTCTCTGTGTCATATCTCTGATTCTTGCTAGCCACATAGAAAGTTCTCTGTCATATCACTGATTCTTGCTAGCCACATAGAAAGTTCTCTGTGTCATATCTCTGAATCTTGCTAGCTACATAGAAAGTTCTCTGTGTCATATCTCTGATTCTTGCTAGCCACATAGAAAGTTCTCTGTCATATCACTGATTCTTGCTAGCTATATAGAAAGTTCTCCTGTGTCATATGTCTGATTCTTGCTAGCTATATAGAAAGTTCTCTTGTGTCATATCTCTGATTCTTGCTAGCTATATAGAAAGTTCTCGTGTCATATCTCTGATTCTTGCTAGCTACATAGAAAGTTCTATATAATATATCTCAGAATCCTGCTAACTACATAGAAAGTTCTGCATAATATATCTCTGGATCCTGCTAGCTAAGTAGAGTGTTCTGTGTATGTACCTCTGAGTCCTGGTATCTACCAGACAAGTTTTGTATCATATAGCTAAGAACTATGGTAGTGGATGTTTTGTATGTATCAAACTTTGATTTTACATCATAAAAGATGTTTTTAATACCAATCATTGAAAATGGCACACATCCTTATGCTTTGATCTCATGACTTTGTATGAGTTTTTTTTTTTTTTTTTTTTTAAATTAAAGATTCTGTTTTAGTCATTTAATAATACTCTGTTTTTTATTTTAGCCAAAGACACTGATATAATTGATGAAGCTATTTATTATTTCAAGGCAAATGTTTTCTTCAAAAAAATTATGAAATTAAGGTAAGGTATTTAAATGCAAGTTTTGTCGTACCATTTCCAGAAATGTGTTGGATTATCTTTTCATTATCTATGGAGTTTGGTGGACCAGGGTCAGTTCACCTTACTTGCTGGCTATTCAGAATCCCACCTTTGGACTCTACCTACTCCTCAATATGGGTGCTCTCTTGTGTTTCCAATAATCCCTTTTGTAGCCTTCCTAATGAATAAAAGACAGTGGGATCCACTCGTAGGTGTAAGGCTGTTGTGCAGATCTGGAAACTTGAGCACTGGGGATAAAGTAGTATTAAACCCTCAGCATTTTTTAGTTTCCCACATTGAGTACAATACATATACATTCCCCAGTAAACTATTTAACATTCTTACCCTAGCACTTGCAGTTTATACCTTTTAAAGTGTTACTAAACCCAGAACCCTGCATTTGCTATATCTGGTCACCCACATGTACACAGAACATGGACGTGCAATTATTTTAGTAAATATAAACTGCTAAATACCTTTTCTCATCATCAAGTCTTATGACTTCTATCAGTGTCCAGCAGAGCACTGTTAAAGATTGTAGGAGTTTTCTTTCTGCTCTAGGAGGATGCAGAACCCCTGACCTCTGTCTGGACAGTGCTGATTGGTCCTGTGCTGATCACATGCACTCTCCCAAGAAAAAAACCTCTCTAGCAATACATACCAAACTAAGATTGTGCGGAGTGACTCCACACGATGTGTCTTATCAGGAGATAAGAGGGGGCATTGAAAGAAGGGGAGGATCAGAGAAGTTAGGATCAAACAGCGTGTTTACATAATGCAGAAGATTAACTCCTTTGGTTCAACAGTTCAAAAAGAATGCTTTATTGCATATAGAAACTAATTGTACTTTGTGGGTTTAGTAACACTTTAATGCTACTGGTTCCTGCTTTCCCAGTCTTGCTTTCCTGAACTTCCAGTCTTTTCAGGAAAGAGTTTACAGTGGACAGTACAGTCTCCAGCTAATCTGTAAAACTGGCCATACAATATACAATTTTCTTGTTCATTTTCCTTTAGATTTACCTTCAACTATATAGTGCTAGAGCCTGCCTGATTGCATACAAATTGGAAATGTTTATGCTTGATCTCATATTTGGTTTGGTAAATCTAAATGAAAATTGTACAAGAAAATTGAATAATGTATGACCAACCTAAGTTTGCAAAAGAAAGGAGTAGGAAAGGGCCTTGTCACCTAAGGCTACCAGGCTGTGTGTTTCTATTGATGTACACAGTATAGGGAATCGACTCTACTCCCTGCATGCAGGGGTGGTTTCATAGGATGCAGCAAGTAAAAAGAGCCACCCTGAAACAGCATACCAGAGGCAGACGTCATGGCATCAGCTAAAACTGGAACAAGGGCAAGGATTAAAAGCTAAAGAATCTTCATATTCAGTAGCTGATTAAATCAACTGCTGAAAGTGCTTAAAAAACCTGAGGGTTCAATATCGCATATAACGGGAGTTGATTTAGCTCTTCACTTTCGCTCTGCTGGGACACTAGTTCCTGCTCCTGTCCAGTATTGATGTTGTCCTTGATAAATGTAGGAGGGACTTTGAGAGTCAGGCTTCCCAGTGCTATATAATCGGCAGATCTATGCATTGTCTTCTGAGCCAGACAACATATCCAGCCTGCAGACCAAAGCTGATACTGGCCAGTGCTCACCCATCTATTCACATCTATCACTTTACATGACATGTTATTATTATTATTATTATTATACAGTATTTATAAAGCGCCAATGGTTCGCTCAGCGCTGTACATTACTATGTTCAATGTGTTCACAAAATATTTCATGTGTTTATCTCAGTCACTAATATGCCTTCTATATCCATGTTCTGACTTTTATTGTTTTGCAGAATGAAGCCGACCGCACATTAATATATATAACTCTGTACATTTCTGAATGCTTAAAAAAGTTGCAAAAGGTGAGAAATATATACCAACACAAATCATTTTAGTGCAGTATTTTTGTACTCAATGTTGTCATCGTCTTTAACCACTTCAAGTCTGGAAACTCTTACCCCCCCTTCCTGTCCAGGCCAATTTTCAGCTTTCAGTGCTATCACACTTTGAAGGACAATTGCGCAGTCATGCAACACTGTACCCATATGAATTTTTTAGCATTTTTTTGGGACAGATAACATTTTATTTTGGTGGTATTTATTCACCACTGGGATTTTTATTTTTTTTGCTATATAAATGAAAAAGTCCAAACATTTTGAAAAAAAGCATTTTTCTTAAAACCTTTTGCAAATAAATAATCTTTCTTCATAAATCTTGGACAAAATGTATTCAGCTATCTTTTTAGTAAAAAAAAAATAACCCAAATTAGTGTATAACCAAAAATTATAATTTTTCAAAACATTTTTTACTTATTTGTTTTTTTTTTTTTTTTGTTTTGTTTTTTTAACATACTGTCACCCTAGCAGTACACTGTCACCATAGTGACACTGTACCACCTGTGGGGGGGTGATGAAATTTTTTTTTTTTTTTACACTGATTGCTTTTACACCCATAAAGGATGTAAAAGCAATAATTTCTCCTCTCTGACTGCATTCTTGCAGCCATTGAGAAATGCTGTGTGGGCTGTGATTGGTCACAGCTTGTCACATGGTTGTTGTGAATAGCCTTGTATCATGTGACCTCTCTGATCATTCACAGATTTTAGAAGTGACATCTTGCTTACTACTATTCATGTGATCACTGATTGGCCAATCAGTGATCACATGATATGGACCTCGCATAGAGGTCTTGTACAGCGATTGGTGTTCCGCTGTGTTCTCTGGACACAGCGGGCACCGGATCGCGGTGCCGAGTCCTCCCTGGGAAACGCGGACAGCTTAAAAATGCGGGCGCCGTTTATGAACGGCAACCCGCTCCTGCACAGCTCCCATCCGCCCATTTATGTTCATGGGCTGGACGGAAGTGGCTAAACATTATCATGGTTAAGTACTAACTAGCATGTATCTTAAGACATTTATTCGACGTTTCCTTTAGAAAACGAGTACAGGCTGCAACTCACTAGCCATATGTTTTTTTTTTCTTTTTGAAACAGTGCACTTCTAAAGGCCAAGGAGAAAAGGAAATGTACACCCTGGGAATTACAAATTTCCCTATCCCTGGAGAACCAGGGTTCCCCCTGAATGCCATGTACATAAAGCCTTCCAACAAGCAGGAAGATGGTAAGACTGTGCTCCTGGTGATATTTTTGGTATTCGAGCTTGTAGAATGTAAGGAAATTCCTTTGTAATAAAGATTGCTGCAACTGATTGACAAGTAATAAAACTGAACTCTGGGATTAAAAAAAAAAAATACCCTTGCAGTGCCCATCCCCCCGAAAGGGTTAAATTCTCATTAAGTCCAGAGGTAGAGGAAAAAGATATAATGGTTACCTTATTCCTAGCTCTGGCAGACTTGCAGTGCTCTTCACTACTCTCCAACAGGTTGTGGGGGGCACTTATCGTTCTCATTTACAATGCAGGACTGCTGGTCCTGCATTGTACATGATGATGTCATAGATGTCACAGATCAGGGGTTATCGAAGGGAAGAGGTCAGTCACAGACCGTGGGGGAAGCTTGCTGCTGGAGAGATTAGTAAGGTAAGTGGGGATTTAGATTTATAGGAAGTAAATTACTTAAAATATTAAATAATGTAAATATAAGTCTTGGCAGCTAGCACTTAGGGTATTGGCAACAGTCCCAAATTTAAATGTTAAAAGTATTCGTGCAGTGCTATAAACGCATGTAACATATTATAAATGCATATGATATCAACGTGTTAGTAAATAAAAGAAAAGTGCAATAATGGTGTAAACTGAGTATTTCACTCCATCAGTACTACCCAGCTGTAAAAAGTTCATACAATACCTTATGAATATTAATAATGTCCTTTGTGGAAGGATATCAACTCAAAGAGTGCCTGTATTGGCACGTGTTGTTATTCGTGGTGAACAGATGTGCAGAAATTCGTGAATCGGAATCCACCCTTGGGACGGATGTACACTCACTAGACCAAAAGTATTAGTGCGGATGGGTTAGTAACATCACACATCTGGGGGCGCAGCGGTGTGCTGGCAGCTACGGGTCTAGTCATCCAGCTCCATCCATCCAAAATACCATATATCCTTCTGAAAATGATAGTTTCTGAGCTGTCAAAAAATGTCAGCCACCCCAATTTATAACTAGCCTTTGCAGTAAGGTGCACATGGAAGGGCTTAGCACATCACAAACAACAGAAAATTTCCAGCACACTTACCAGCTAGCTTTCAAAAAAACCAAATTGACCCTGTCTAACAATTCACATAAAACAGAGTGTTTGCCGTTGCATCCATTTACAAATCTATGTGGAAGCCACAGTGCCTCGCCAAGGCTCCCATGCATACTGTGGTCCTAACTCTATGTTTTTGAGAGTCTCCATGTTGGAGCACATGGAGCATTGGATAAATTTAGGGCAGGTTTGCCTGGAGGAAGCTCACTCCCCCTTAAAGGCACAGGGACATATTAGATGCTCAGCAAGGCATCCAATGTGTCCCCATGCTAAATCCAGCGAACAAGTTATACAAAAACAGTAAGGTGCACATGGAAGGGTTTTGCACATCTCAAACAAAAAATTTCCCAGCACACTTACCAGCAAGCCTGTAATAAAAAAAAAAGAACGAATTGCCCCTGACTGTCATTGTGATTTAGTGCCTTTAATACTTTGAGCCACTGACCTGGAACAACTGTGCACTTCACTAATTCTGAAATTGTGTGCACTGTGCCTCAGTTCAGTGACTGACAAGGTCATCAAGACAGATGCAGGCATTTTTTTTTTTTTTTTTTTTAATATTCGTCCGCAATGGCAGCCTGTACATTTCTCAGTAATTAAATGTGAAATTGTGAGCCACACAAATTGTACGGTAAAGTAATAGCACAATGGAGAATATCTGGCAGCATCAGTATTTATAAATAATGGTCCTTATATTTCAGCATGTTGGAACGAAGAACAGTCATGCTTATAGTAACTAACCATCCTCCAACTGAATGACACAGAACCTGGCTGCAGTGGGGCAGCGCAGGCAGTTTTTATTTCAGACTTTTGATAAGTAAGGAATTTATAAAATGATCTACAATACCCAAATCTTTAGTCATATCATTATCAAAGGAATCTATTATAAAAGATTTCCTATGTGATTTGCAGAGAACGTTTGGTGGACATAGGTCCATCTGTATTTTACAGCCTTCAAGCGTGCTCCCTGTGTGTATTGGGGCAGCTGATGAAGGAATCTTGATTGAATTGTAATGTCACGGGAAAGTCTTGTTTGTAATTGAAATCTCTCTATTGTGTGGTTTACTGATTAGCGAATTTTGTTTGACTTTAAAGCCAGCCATAGACAAATCAAGATTCGGCAGGTTCCGGCCAAGATTCCGTCTATGATTCTGATTGTACCCAAGTTGATACATCGATTGGCTTGGGTACAACAAGCCTGTTGGATTTTTAGCATGCAATTACTGCTCATGGCTATAGTTGCTAGAAGTAATCGTATTCTGCTGGCCGAGAAAGCTTCCCGTCTTCAAATCCTCCTATCATCAGGCTACATAGGTATGTGTGGACAGAGAGGGCAGTCTGATGATTTCCGAGTAGACCAAGGGAATTCCTTTAGATGCTAGGAGGGTGTAGCGACAAGTGTATTCAAAAGCCGTCAATGAGGTCAGTGAGCCTTTGTCCCAGAGAAGTGATATGATCCAGTGCCAAAGTTGGGCGTACCAAAAGAATTCTGAAGAGGGCACCTTGAAGCGGCTTTATAGGGTTGCCCAGGGTAAGAAAGACCCCTTCTCCACCAGAGAATACACCATACCGAGTTTATGCAAAATCCACCAAAAAAAGGAAGTCCCGGTAGGAAAATAGGATGACCCGTAATGGGGAGTAAGGGAAATTATGGAGCAAGCTATTTTACAGAGTATTTAACAGAATCCCATATTTTCAGGTGTGGCTTTAATAAGGGCCTAAGGGTGAGTGGGTGAGAGTGCATGGAATCTTTCAATTATGTTGTATTCTGATGCTCTGTATAATGAAAAACCGATAGAATGAATATTCTTTGAAAATGATAGCTGACTGCTTAAAAAATAGACAGCTGAATCTCCAGCAAACATTCACTGTGCAAATTGCATTAGGTACTTCATTTGGCTCCACTACAAAAATATATGTGTGAAAGAAGTGTACATGCAGTTTTCAATGTAATTGTGATTTTTGCTGTATCCGTTCGGTAGCTAAATATACGTCCATCCTAGGGTGGTCTGCTCAATGGCTTGTGAAATTCATACTGCTTTTATTTTAACACCAATCCAAACATGCACAAAAGTGTATTGGAGAATAAAGTATTTTTCATGCCACTATAATACACACCAGCTTGTACATTTTAATGTGGTCTTCTTGTTCTCTCTTCCTCCAGAGGTGATGCGGGCCTATTTGCAGCAGCTGAGGCAGGAGACAGGACTGAGGCTGTGCGAGAAGGTGTTTGACCCTCAGACAGACAAGCCCAGCAAGGTAAACCAACTAGTTCTACTCTGCAGTAGTTTTGTAGTTCTATACCAGTGCAGGTGTTTATTAGAACACAATATATACCTTCGATCCAACAGTTCCGATGCTCATAAAGTCCCTTAATGGCGCTGGCATCTTCTGCCTGCCATTTTCTGGGTGCCGGTCTTCAGCCAATTTGATTGACCGGCACTGGATGCCATCACTCCCGTACATGTGCAGGACTGCAGTCATGCCGGCACACAGACAGTATGCTGGAATGTAAACTGAGCTGCGCATGTACAGCTCCATTTACATTCTAAAGAAGATAGCGAATAGGCTGGTAAGTATATTTTATTGAAGAATGGACTTTGTATGTCTCTTCTGTAATAAAGACCCTGTCGTTTTTGCATTTTTTAACTTTACTTCTGTTTTTGGTGAACCTGCATTTCCTGAAGAAGTATATTTTAGTGTTTATTCTACATTAAACCATAAGTTCATAGTATATATGTTTGTTAACACAGGTAATATGCCAGTTCTAATTGATTCTCTCTTGAGAAGAGATTAAGGGGGGATATGATCAACATGTATAAATACATCAGTGGTTCATATAGTGAACTCGGTGTAGAGTTATTCACCTTGAGGTCATCACAGAGGGGCACCCTTTACGTCTGGAGGAAAAGAAATGTAATCTCCAAACACGGAAAGGTTTCTTCACAGTGAGAGCTGTGACAATGTGGAATAGACTCCCTCAAGAGTTGGTTCTGGCCAGCTCAGTGGATTGCTTCAAAAAAGTCCTGGATTGTTTCTTAGATACACAGAATATAACTGGTTACTAACATTTATAGGTAAAGTTGATCCAGGGAATATTCGATTACCTCTCGGGGGATCAGGGAGGAATTTTTTCCCCTTAATTGGATTTTGCTTTGCTGGTTTTTTTTGTCTTCCTCTGGATTAACTGTGGGTATACGATTATAACTTTTTTTTTTTTTTTAATGGTTGAACTGGATAGACGTTTGTATTTTTTCAGCCAGACTAACTATGTAGCTATGTAATTGGTAATTGACTACATGGCTCAGCATGTCTAGTCCTGAATGTCTTTGTATGGAAATTCTTATGATTGTTCTGCTTTCTTTGTCTTAGTGGTGGATGTGCTTTGTGAAGAAACAGTTCATGAACAAATCCCTGTCTGGTCCTGGGCAGTAAACGTATGTGAGGAGCGGAGCAGTGTAACTGTGTTCAGACTGAGCTAAAAAGTTCCATTTTGAAATGATCTTTTATACTGTTGTAATATAAATGACCACAACCAAACCAAGAAAAAATTATGGTGTGTGGAGGAATAATACATGTTAAGCTGGAGCTTAATAAAAGTGATAAATTGTTTCTGGATTAAATTTTGTTTGGTGGGTTTGTGCTTTGCTTGTAACTCCACTGGCTGGAGAAATTATCGTTACACATCTTCTCCTGTATGCTAATAAATAACATGTTATCCTGACACTGTTTGGTCTCTTGAGAAATAGTCCATCTGATGGCTGGCGATAAAGGCTTCTGTGTGAATACTATAGAGTGTTAAAAAAAAAAAATTACAGAAATAAGAGCCATTCCATCATGATTCTTCCATTGATGTCAGTGAAGTTGACATCTAAAGCCCAACTCCAGATACATCTTAGATCATTTGATTTCTAACTACCAGTTGACACACTAAAGTCTATACTGAATGGTAGAGGGAGGATCAGAATTTCAGCTCCATGTTTGTAGATAGTTACAAATTGTAAACAACTAGGTTTTTAATATGTTGATATACAGAGATACGATTATTTACAGCATGTTCATTCTTTTAATGAACATTTGGTTTAAAAAAAAAACATTAACCACTTGCCTACCGGGCACTTATACCCTCTTCCTGCCCAGGCCAATTTTCATCTTTCAGCGCTGTCGCACTTTGAATGACAATTGCTCAGTCATGCAACGCTGTACCCATATGAAATTTTTATCATTTTTTTTTTTCACACAAATAGAGCTTTTTTTTTGGTGTTATTTAATCGCTGCTGGGTGTTTTATTTTTTACACTGTAAACAAAAACAAAAGAGCAAAAAACTGGAAAAAAAGAGAAGTTTTTCTTTGTTTCTATTATAACATTTTGCAAACAGGTAATTTTTCTCCTTCACTGATGTGCATTGATGAGGTGGCACGGATAGGCAGCACTGATGGGCACGGATGAGGTGGCACTGATAAGCAGCTCTGATGATGCTGCACTGATAGGCAGCAATGATGGGCACTGATAGGCGGCACTGATGGACAGCACTGATAAATGGCACTGGTGGGTGGCACTGTTAGGCACTGGTGGGAGGCAATGATAGGCACTAGTGGGCGGCACTGATCATCAGTGCCTATCTGTTCTCTGACAATTGCCAGTTATCGCCAGTACTTTTCACACACTGTGACAATGTGTGGAAAGTGCAGTCGATAACCGGCAACTGCATGTACCCAGTGATCTGCTGTTGCATTGGACAAAACTGATCGCGTGGTATAAGGCCTCTGTGTTTGGCCGTTTACCACATCACGTGATCAGCTGTGTCCATAGGACATGGGATCGCTGGGGGCGCCCAGGAGGGTGCGTTCTGGGAGGACGTCATATGATGCCTACTGCGCTGTAGCCGTCATTTGGCTATAACGTGGTTGGCAAGTGGTTAAAGATACAATAGCCTTCTTTTTAATGATTGATGAGATGAGCTTCATTGACAAGTCTGTTTTCACTGAGGTCAGACTTGACCCATTAAAGCCAATCTGAAAGTTTAGTTTAAATTTGTAAAGCACATGCCAGTAACATCAAAACAAAAGATGCCACAGTGTAAAAAAGCCTGACTACATGCAATGAGACCACTGCTTCCACACATAGAGCAAGGGTCCCGCTCTGCAGCTGCTGGTAGGGAACACACATTTTTACTGAGGCTATTTCTGCTTTAGGAAGAAAATAAGCTAAAACACCTTATGTTTTAATGTATCTGGAATATGTTTAGGTGATTTAAAGTGATGGTTTCTATTGGACTTGAAGGAGAGTCAAGGCTAGAGAATAGATAGATGCTCAGAAAAAAGGGAGCAGTTGACTAGAGCAAACTCCAAAAAAGGTTGGTAAATGTAAATCCAAAAAACAGAATACATCAATATGGATGCAAACAAATATCTTTATTAAGATCACAAAGATCCTGTGAAGGATATACTATCAAGGTGAACACATGGTCAGTCACATATTAAAAACAGTGTATTCAAAACCATTGTCCACGCTATACACTTAGCTGAATTATGTAAAACAGTGATAGGCTAGGAACCCGTATGTAGTTTGGCCTCTAGGGAAAACAAATATATAAAAAAATTCTTGCTAAGAATACAGTAACAGTATTAGCTACATATAATGATCTAGAGTTCTCTCTGAATATGCATAAGGTATTGCATCTTCATGGCTTAGATATAGATGATGCCTGTATGTCACACCCTAGGCACCTGTACTTGCCCGCTGTTCCCTAAACACAAGTGGTCACCTCAGCTTACTGTTGTTTAAAGAGGAGCTTCAGTAAGGTTTCCAGAAATTTTAATAACTTACCTGTTCATGGACCCAGTGTTGTTCTCTCCTGATTCTTTAAAGGTCTTTGGGGCCCAAGTGCCTCCATGTTAATTGTGGGAAGCCACAAGGAGTAACAGCCGGCTCCCCACTGTGCATGCGCGAGACATGCTGTGCTATCTGAATGGTCCCTGTGATGTGTCCCAGTAGGTTGCAGGCAGGGAGGGGGGGAGGCCAAACTTCCACTCAAACATGCTCCAGTTATAATTAAAATCCCCTATATTAGTGGTCTCCAACTGCGGCCCAGGGGCGGGATGTGGCCCTTTGCTTTCCTTTATCTGGCCCTTGAGGCATTATTTCTGCTACTGAAACCAACAATGGGACATAATTCCTGCCACTGACACCAACCATGAGGCCAGTACTCCTCTCACACATCTCTTGACACTCCCAAGTATTCAACAGTCATAAGCATGCTTATGATTACTTCATTTTGTCGCATACCCTTATTATGTGCTTTAAAATCGGGATCCTAAAATGTGTTTTATTAGTAGGGTTAAGCCAGAGGGGGGTTACACATGAATAGGAGGTCACAGGCCATAGCCTTAAGGGTTGTCCATGTATGTACAGTATAGCATAATATTTAGGGAGTTGTGCTAGTTGGGCTGCCTGGTAATATTTAATCTGAATAATAGGGTTAGAGAACCTTAAACCCCCTGAAATTAGTTGCTATACTTATGCTGGCCATAGATACCTTGTTTTCTTTTGATCAGCCAGAAGGCTGATCAAAAAAAAAAAAATAGTGGATTTCCCCATCCACACAAGCATGGTGAATAGAAGAATCCTCCATGCTGTGCCATTATATTCTTTTTTTTATTATTGGAAATTGAAATAGAAAACAATACAAAATACAATGTATGAAAGTAAACAAAACATAAGATATCATAATAAGTGTCAGCTCTCCTAAACATGTAACACACAAACTATCATTTAGTTATGCAAGAAAGCGTACCTATGGCACACATTACTGCTTACATAAGATGTAGAATTTTCAATTTTCTTTTTAAAGAAAGGAAAAAAAAGGAAAGTGGGGAAAAAATGAGGGAAACAAATGTATTGCGACAAATGCCAATCATTAAATGGAATTAAAGTAAGCTATACTTAGTCTACAGATAACCTCATTAACATTCAAGACTGAAATCCATTAAGGATGAAAAACGGGTCTGAATTTATGGAATATTACAGTGTAATAGTTTTAAACTCAAACCAGAATGCCCATAAAGATCATCAACTTTGCATAACCACTGGGACAGGTACAGATTGTTGTCCCCAGAAAGTTGGGATCAAAGATTTTGCAGCATTTAACCACATGCCTACCGGGCACTTATACCCCCTTCCTTACCAGGCCAATTTTCAGCTTTCAGCGCTGTCGCACTTTGAATGACAATTGCGCAGTCATGCAACAGTGTACCCATATGACATTTTTATAATTTTTTCTCACAAATAGAGCTTTCTTTTGGTGGTATTTACTTGCCGCTGGGTGTTTTACTTTTTGCGCTATAAACAAAAAAAGAGCAAAAAAAAAAATTGGAAAAAAAAATAATTTTTTCTTTGTTTCTATTATGAAATTTTGCAAACAGGTAATTTTTCTCCTTCACTGATGTGCGTTGATGAGGCTGCACTGATAGGCGGCACTGATGGGCACTGATAGGCAGCACTGATGGGCACTGATAGGCAGCACTAATGAGGTGGCACTGATGATGGGTACTGATAGCACTGATAGATGGCACTGCTGGGCACTGACTGGCGGCACTGCTGGGCACTGACTGGCATAACTGCTGGGCACTGACTGGCACAACTGCTGGGCACTGACTGGTGGCACTGCTGGGCTGCACTGATGGGCACAGGTGGGTGGCACTGCTGGGCACTGGTGGGTGGCATTGCTGGGCACTGGTGGGCAGAACTGGTGGGTGGCACTGCTGGGCACTGATCATCAGGGCACTAATCATCAGTGCCCTGATGATTGGTGCTGATCCCTGCTTCTGACAACTGCCGGTTTTCGGCAGTACTTTCCTCACGTTCTGACAGCGTGAGGAAAGTGCAGCCAAGAACCGGCATTGCATTTCCCGGTGATCAGCATGTCATTGGACATGGCTGATCACATGGTAAAAGGCCGCTGTGATTGGCCTTTTACCACATCACGTGATCAGCTGTGTCCGTAGGATACAACAATCACGGAGATCACCGGGTGCGCGCCCTCGGGGGAGCGCAGGAGAGCGTGTTCTGGGAGGACGTTATATGACGCCCTCCCAGAACTGGCCGGCCGCAGTGCAGCCATCATTCGGCTATCTGCGGTCCGCAACTGGTTAATAAATGTGAGGTCACTGACCTTCTATACTGGCATATTGGTTCTGTTGTGCAATGAAACAAAATCGACCAAGGTTCAATCCTAATTACTTCACCCTGTATCAAGGAGATTGTGTCAGTCACTGCCTGCCAGAACGGGCGCATAAAAGGACAAAACCACCACGTGTGGCTCGGCTTCCACAATCTCTCCAGCACAAGGGTGGCTTTGATGTATACATAAAGTGAAGTTTGACTGGTATATAATGACAGCAAATAAGAAGTTTATAATTAATCTTTTCCTTTC